CATTTTTTTTCCCTGACTGTATGTTTTTAAAAAGTCTGTCTTTGAGTTCAATAATTCTTTCTTCTGTTTGACCTGTTCAGCTATTATGGCCTTCTATATTGTTTTAAATTTCTCTTAGTGTATTTTTCAACTCAAGGATTTCTGTTTGATCTTTTAAAATTGCTTTTATCTTCCTGTTAAATTTCTTTGTTAGGTCATTGGATCATTTTTATGTTTTCTCTTTAGACTCCTTGAGTGTCTTTGAAACAACTGTTTTAAATTTTCTGAGTTTTCTCAGACTAGTTACTCTAGAGTTGCTCTTTAGTGCTATATTTTGACTGTTAAATGAAGTCATGGTTCCCTGAAAGTTTTTGACAATTAGTGTTTGATATTGTCTATGTAGTGAAGAATCAGGCATTTATTCTAGTTTTAATAATCTGGCCATGTTTATGTCTATCATTCCAGAAATTCTAAGCAGGCTGCTTATTTTCTATGATACTGTAGTTAGTTGTGACATTTAAGCACTAGATGGTGCCCTAAGTCCAGACTTACTGAGTTCAATGTTGGTGTGTTATCACTATTTCAGCACTAGAGGGCAATCCTAGCCCAGGTGTTATGTTCAGCATGAGCTGGGGGAGTATCTAGAAAAGATAGGAAGGGCTGCCACTAGTCTCTCCCTGGGACTGAAGTAGATCCACATGACTTGTCCCCTGTCACTGGCCTGTGGTTAGGTACCCTAGGATTCTGTCCCCCAGCTCTTGGCAAATGATTATAGATGGACTAACCCCAGTCTCCAAGCCATGACTGGGTACCCACTTGCCTTTTCTTCCTCCAAGCTGGCATTTACTCTCTCTGTGTTGTTGTGTTGTAAGGAGTTGGGGGAGGAATGGGGTGGATAGTCCTGTGGCCCTCAATGCTGAAATGCTGTGTCACACTCTGAGCTTAGGGCCTATGGGACTAGTGTAGCAGTGGGGTAGGACCAAGGTCCACACTACTATGTGTTACCTCCTGCTGAGGTGGACTATTGCCCAAGATTGCTTCAGAACCATCACAGGTAATCCCAGCTGTAATTCCAACAGACTGGATACACATATCTTCCTGACAAGGGAGCTATTCCAGAGGTTCTGTCCATGGGAACTGGCCTTCAGATGGGGGACCATTAGGATAACCCCGTGTTAGGTTTCACCAGCCTGACACTGATTTTCAAGGCAAAGTGCTGTGCTTACTACCGGCCCTACCCCTACTGGATGGAGTCATGCTGCATGCTCTTCTGCCTGAGGTTGGAGTAGGGTTGATGAAGGCAGTCCCTTGGCCACCAAAGCCAATGATAAACTGGATTGCAACCAAGTCTCACAGCCACAAGGACCTTCACAGTCTTAAGAGTACACCTAGGCCCATGCCACATCTGGCATTGATTCAAGTTGATACACAGGTCTGTCCTACCAAAGTGCAGGTCTACATCTGGTGTTAGAGCAGATCTAGAGGCTCTATCTGCCAGCACTGGCCTGTGGATAGCTATGCTACCGGAGGTTGGGGGATGAGTGATGGAGGCAGTACCTTGGCTACCAAGGATGCAGCTGTGCAGAGGTCTGCACAGGCTGGGGCTGAGGAAGCCTTGGTGTGCCCCAGGCCCCTGCAGAGATAGCAGTAATGCAGGTCAAAGTCAAGTCTGTCCCACTGGGGCACAGGTCTTTGCCTGATACCAAGGCAGGTCTAGCATCTCTGTGCCTCAGTACAGGGGCCTTTGTCTTTTTCTGCCTGGTTCTGGTTCTCACTACAACAGGTTGGCATTGAGCTCCAAGGCAAAGTCCTATGGTAGCTTTTGCTATCCAGGTGCCCAGTGGGCAGTGTCTTGCTATCCCTCTGCCACCTGGAGGTGGGGGAGGCATGGTGGAGGCAGTCCATTGGCTGCCTGGTTAATGCAGTGGCAGAGACTTTGTCTGTGGGTATTGTCTTGGTATTTCAAGTGGAAGGCCTAGACTGAATTCCTTCTCTCTGTCTACACTAGGATGTTTGGAGCTGGGCGAGGGGTTATAGGTACAATTCTTTCTTTCCTACCTTCTTCAGTCTTATTGTTAGATGAAACCCAGACTCTATGGCCTCTCACCTGGCTCCTTAGCACCTGTGAAGGTGGTTTGGCATATGAATGGCTATTCAAATTGATGTCCCTGTTTGGAGAGAATCTTACTCAACTGCTATCTTACTCCACTCTTTTCCCTCTTTTTTTTTTTTAATTTTTTTTTAGGCAAAGCAAAACTTTTCAAAAATTATACTAGCTCCTTAGTTTGTCATGAAAAGTTTTCTACATTTTGGTGCCAACTTATTCTTCCATCACTGTGCCCATTAGTCTTCTATTCAAACCTTGTGTCAAGGGCTTAACAGTACAGGATTAGTTATGTCACTTCTAGTTCCTTTGATCAAAAGTTATTATCCCCGAGAAAGGGACTTGGACATATATAGTCCAAAGAGTAAAAGATCATTATCAACTCTGTAGTTATGAGGAATCAGTCATTTAAGCTGGAACTCCACCTTTATATTCAGAGTCTTCTTAGAATATTTATATTCAAACTCTTCAAGAATGGAAAGGGAGACGTATTGTAGAAATGGAAATAAGACAATGCCATGGGAATGCATTTAGGTATGGAGGAGGTACTATGAACCAAACTGTGAAACTGCCAGGAAAGTACAAGAACACAAGGTTTACTCCAGGTAGAAAGGGAGGTCTGTGTGCTTGGGGGAGAATGCTTGCAGCAGATAGGTTCTGGGATAAGCAATGTGCAATCAGATGATCCTTTTTCCTTTATTAAAAAAATAGCAGAATCTAATTTAGTTTTGTTTATAGTAAAGTTACCCAAATCTGGATGGAGTCAATGATTTGGCACATTGTTGACCAAAGAAAGATGGTCTCATAGTAGGTATGGGATATATATTTATTAATGAATAAATAAATGGCCTGTCTACACACAATATTTGACATAGCAAATAAGAAAAAAAACAGTTTAACTGGTGAAGTAAGTGACTTGGAATTTAGAAGGTACAGATTAACAAAGTCCAAGAGCATAATAACATGGTGGCTTTTATAAGTGTTACTTAGAGACTGATTTTAGTGAATGAAGAGGATGTAGACTGGTTATAGAGCAAGATTTTGGAAGCACATAGTACAGCAGGATTCTGATCTGCCATGGACTATTTCTGTGGCCTTGGATTTTTGTTCTTTGGCTTTCTTATTGGCAAAGTGTAGACTATCTGTCCTTCAAAGATTGTGATAAGCTTGAGATGATAGAAGTGAATCACCTAATTCAATGCTGAGTACTGTTTGTGTCACTTTATATCTGGCCAACAAATCGTAACTAGTACTTAGCTGAGGATTCTAGAGAACATCTCCCTGGAAATATTCAAGGTGAAAATAAATAATTGGTGACAGAAGCAGTTTAGATTGCCTTGCTTCCCTGGAGATAGTCCAGGTAATCTTTCAGGTCCATCACAACCACGAAATAGCATTTTACATGACATACACGAGCCAATTTCAAATAGCAGGGTGTAATTATTGTTTTGGTAACTTTTATCTTATATTGGGAGACATGGAATTAAATTTTGAATAAAAATGTTGCCTGCCAATTGAACCACACAAAACTGAGTGAAACAGCATTGTCAGGATGGGAAGAGGCAGGATATTATGTCTGTTCTCCCAGGAAGGCAGTGAGGTGTGGATGAGAGGTGGCTGCCCAGATGATGTTTTACAGGACGACTTTCAGCAGCTGGTGGCCCATTTGTAGAAAGCCTTGATATTAATGACTCACCTTCTTTATCTTTCTCCATTGCAGAAGATCATTAGAAGTCTTTGCTTTCTCCTTATTCCAATGTGTAATTGCTGAGTAAAGCTAAGGAATCTTGTGATACACAATTTGAACTGTTTTGGAGACATTTTGAAATATCTTTATGGGGTGTTTTTTTTTTCCCAAAGCTTCTAATGTACTTTAATGGTTAATAAATCACATTTACCTGATAGCCAACATTTCTTCTACAAAGGCTCTGACTTTACTTTATTTGTCTATATCTCACTAAAAGGTTAATGGTATTTCACTGACTCTACAGATCATATCTACACCAACAATATAATTTTATATGTCTTACAGCAGAAATGTATCAGACTAATAGTTTTTCTTAACTGCAATGTATTTTAAACCACAGAACATTTTAAAGATGCATATACTCTGGAGAGTATTTAATATTATGCAAGGAAACATATGAATTTCCTTAGCATTTAGGATGTATAGAAAATTAACTACATTTTTTTTCTTTTTTGTATCAGGGATTGACCCAAGATGCTTAACCAGAACCACATCCCCAGCCCTTTTTATTTTTTATTTTGAGACAGAGTCTCACTAAGTTGCTCAGGGCCTCAATAAATTGCTGAGGCTGGCTTTGATCCTGCGATCCTCCTGCCCCAGCCTCCTGAGCTTGGGAAACTATAGGCATGCGCCATCACTTTGGCTTTGTTTTTTATTTAAGTATAGCTCCTTTTAGACTACAAATTGAAGTTTGGAAAACATGTTATGCTTTGGAAAATTGTTATTTAAAAAATCTGAATTTGTAAATTAAATATTTTTCTTTCCAAGAGAATATACTATATATTATGTGCTGTGAGTCTTGGAGTTGTGGTCCTGCTTCTATGGCATATTAGTTGCCTTAAGCAAAGAAAATCTCCTAGTATGTTTGTGTCTCAGTTTTCTAACTCATGCAATGGGAATAATGATATATTTGTTTATTTACCTTACATAGCTAGTATGAGGATCACATTAGGAATGATTTGAAAATACTTTGTAAAATTTATGCATAACCATATTAATGGTGTCACTTATTGTCTTCTTTCCTTCTGTGTTTTAAAGAGTTAGTAGCATTATAATATCATTATTTCACAAAGTAATTTTTATTCCAATTGAATGTGACATGAGGTCTTGACTCTAAACTCCAGTTTTTGTTCCCATTATTCAGTGTAGTAAGTAAGATGACATCGCATGCAATCAAGAGTCCTGGACTTAGTGGAATCAAATCTAGTCTTGCAAAATTGCATAAGGACTATGGACCTTATCCTTTTGATATTCAAATTATTAAAATATCTTTGATGATGGAAGAAGTCCCAACTAAGCTTTCAGAAGGTGCCAGTTCCTAAGAAAAAACTACAATGTAAAGGCAGTTCTGAAGTTGTGCCCTGGGATTGCCACCATATCCTTGGAGTTGGAGGAGGAAGAAAACTTTTAGGTATGATATGAGACTAAGAATGTAAACTTTTTTTTTAAACCAATTCACCTTACCACAGACATGTCTTAGGGAAACCAGTGTTTGCAGTGGAAGATTATAACCTTAGGAATGGCCTTCTTCTGTAGCCTGGGAACACTTGCTACCTGGTCAAGTTCTAGACCAATGTCAGGTGTAATAGACAGATTTATAACTCCAAAGAATATCCCATGCCCTAATTTGTAGTGTTACCTTACATGCAAAAAGGGACTTTGCAGATGTAATTAAATTTACTAATTCAATGACCTTAAAATAGGGACATTACCCTGGATTATCCAAGTGGATTCAATGTAATTATATGAACTCTTAAAAATGGCAAAGAAGGGAAAGCAATTTGATATGTGAGAATGACTTGATGTATCATTTCTGGCTTGAAGAAGAGCCATGTGGAAAGTATGAGGGGAAATGGAGTTCTGCCAACATTCTGAATGAGCTTGAAGTGGATTCTTTCCCAGAGCATACAGTATGGAGTACAACCCGCAGATGGCTTGATTTTGGCCTTATGAGATGAAGAGAAGCCACTTGAACTATTTGTGCCCAGACTTTTGACCCACAGAAATTACAAGGTGATAAGTGTCTATGTTTGACTTCTAGGTTTGAAGTAATTTGGAGTAGAAGCAATAGAAAACTAATACGCAAGGTAATCGAGAGCACCTGGCATCTGGAAGAGAGCACAAAATCATTTAGCATCAACAGGTAAAATTGAGTCCCAGATCCATGGGAGCTGTGAGAGCAGACAGGATTAACTTTTGTACTTTCTAGGCCCCTAGGATTGTCAGAATTGTTTAGGATGGCTGGGTCTAGGGGAAGAAAGATATTCTAACATTAGAGACATAGGACCCTGGAATCCTGTTAAAATGGAACATTTAAAGAAAGGGCTTTCCAAGAAAATGGGAATTCTAGGTCACAAATAATATAAATATGTAGGTTATAAGTAATATCAACATATTGGGAAACACTTCTCCATAGGTCCTTTGTATTTCTGCATTCTTAAGAGCAAAAGTGCTGCTGACAGCTTTCATTGCAGATGATCCTTTCAATGATGTTTGAGTAGTGAATAGCCTTGGAAGACAGACATAGATTCTTGAATTGTTGGGAGC